TCAGGCATGTGTGCCCAGAGATTCCAAGAGGAAATTGGAGAAGAAGGGATTCAGTGTGGCTAACTCCCCTGGGAGGGAGGAGTGATCTCTGATTTTCTGTCTCTCTGTCTCTGTGTCTCTATGTCTCTGGCAAGTGCACATGACCTATAACCAAAAAACCTCTCTCTCATTAACACATTCTCTTTCTAACTTTAGAAATTCATATGTTCTCTGTGTGTGTGCATACGTGTGCCTTTGCTGGGGTCGATTCATACCACCCCTTCTGATTCCTCTGTACTTTCCCCAGTTTCTTCTCTCTCTGAGAAAATACACAAGAAACATCTCTTCGGAGGAAGACAGCCAGCCCATGTGTAACCCTCTGCCCACGTTTCCTTAACTAACCAAGCTACTGGGCACTGACTGTTTGTTATATTAAAAAGTGGATCCTACTCCATACACTTAATGCCTACTTCCAGACTCTCCTAAAACACATGGTGAAATCATTTGAAGGACAAGCCACAGCTTAGCATCTCATAAAATTCAAAATTATTTGTGCTCTGAGAGATTTGTAACTAAAATCCACTTATCTAGAACACAAGTTGATTCCAGTCTCATTATGAAAGCCAGACTGGGTACCATCTTTTCCCTGCCCTCCCCAAATTTCTCGTTCACCCAGAGCCTAAGGATGTGACCTTATTTGGAAATGGTGACGTAATGGTTGCATTGCAGGACTCCCACATAGTCAACCGCGATTCAAGTCTGGACCCAGCAGCTCAAACCTTACATCAGGCATGTGTGCCCAGAGATTCCAAGAGGAAATTGGAGAAGAAGGGATTCAGTGTGGCTAACTCCCCTGGGAGGGAGGAGTGATCTCTGATTTTCTGTCTCTCTGTCTCTGTGTCTCTATGTCTCTGGCAAGTGCACATGACCTATAACCAAAAAACCTCTCTCTCATTAACACATTCTCTTTCTAACTTTAGAAATTCATATGTTCTCTGTGTGTGTGCATACGTGTGCCTTTGCTGGGGTCGATTCATACCACCCCTTCTGATTCCTCTGTACTTTCCCCAGTTTCTTCTCTCTCTGAGAAAATACACAAGAAACATCTCTTCGGAGGAAGACAGCCAGCCCATGTGTAACCCTCTGCCCACGTTTCCTTAACTAACCAAGCTACTGGGCACTGACTGTTTGTTATATTAAAAAGTGGATCCTACTCCATACACTTAATGCCTACTTCCAGACTCTCCTAAAACACATGGTGAAATCATTTGAAGGACAAGCCACAGCTTAGCATCTCATAAAATTCAAAATTATTTGTGCTCTGAGAGATTTGTAACTAAAATCCACTTATCTAGAACACAAGTTGATTCCAGTCTCATTATGAAAGCCAGACTGGGTACCATCTTTTCCCTGCCCTCCCCAAATTTCTCGTTCACCCAGAGCCTAAGGATGTGACCTTATTTGGAAATGGTGTCTGTAAAGATATAGTCAGTTAAAAGAAACTCACAAGGAATGCAGGTGGGCCCTCGCCCACTGACTGGTGTCCTTATAAGGAGGACACAAAGGTCACTCACAGAGAAGTAGCCCAAATGAAAGGCTTCCGTTGGCCATGAACATTGATTGCCAACCACCACCGGAAGCTAGGCAGAACAAGGGAGAATCCTCCCCTAGCGCCTTCCAAGGGAACATGGCCAGCCAGGAGCTTGATTCTAGACGTCTAGTCTCCAGAGGAGTGAGGGAATAGGTTTCTGCTCATTTAATCCTCCCTTTTGTGGTACTTTTTGACAGCAGCCCTAGGACACTGCTGCAGAGGTAAAGGTGACACCCATATTGTGGAGGTGATTATGGTTAAGTACCCGTGGGCAGAGGCCAGAGTGTACCTTCCTTGTGTCCCCTGTCCCTCACCAACAAGGTCCACTGGCAATGCAGCACCTAGATAAGGACCCCTGCCACCTGAGCTGCTTTGAGGGATGACCCTTTGTGCCAACTCACATTCCAAAGCTACGTTGCATGATTTCTCATCTCCACACAGAAGTGGGTAGCAAAAGGATATGAACAGCTTCCATGGGGATTCTACTGCACCCGATGCAGGGATGTACATCCCCCAACCATCTGCTGCTGCTTCTACATCATGAGAGGAACCCTCTCTCAACCCGGGACGAGTATCCTGAGAAGGGAGGGCAGGGAACAAGCTCAGTTCTTTGCTTTCAATGTGTGCAACTGTTTACGAACAACCCAGGAACAACCTCTATACGTGACATTTAAAAAAATGTTTTCATAGCGCATGTGTGCCTGCTGGAGAGAGACAGAGTAGGTGGGGGGAAGTGAAAAAGCTCCCCCTAGGGGGATGACTCTACCACCATCCCTTCTCCTCCATTCTGTCGGGATTTGGGGCATGCATGCACAAGCACCCAGCATGTTTCTTTTTATTTTTTTTTTAAGAGAGATTTTTGCTATAAGATGTGTGCACTCACCAAAGGGACAGAGAGAGACTGAGAGACAGAAAACAAGAAATCACCCCCCGGGGGAATGGCAATGCCGCCATCCCTTCTCTTCCGTTCTCCTTTTGGAATCTTGGGTACACACGTAAACGCACCCAGCAGGAGTTTAAGCTGCTGGATCCAGAACTTGAGCCATGGTCGAACACATAGGAATTCAGTGTCATAACCATTATGCCATCTGCTGGTCCCAACACCCAGAATGTTTCTAAGCTGTTGGGTCCGGTACTAGAACCACTCAGAAAGCCATGTGGGATTCAGCTGCCTCAATCACCACACCACTGGCTGTCCCATGATTGGGAAAACAGCAACCTCTTATCACAAAGGTGTCAACTCTGGTAGCAGGCAGAGGCCCTCACAGCAGGTCTAGAGGGGGCAAGACTGGGAGATGGGAGAGGGAAGGGATGCCTGAGATTCCAGACCATGGCAGAGGGGTCAGAGTGTGCACAGAGCAGCAAGCCATCCCAGAGAGCACTGAGGGCGAAACCAAAGCAAGGGTGCAAATGTGGTCAGGGCACCCTTAATGTAGGGGCGACCCTGAGTGCTTCAGGAAAGAGGAGTGGGGATGGAAAGAGCACGGTGAGCAGGAGGCTGGGAAACCTGAACAGGTGCAGAGTGGGGTGTTTGTCCAGAGGAGAGCCCAGAGCAAAGTGTGGAGGTGAGGGAATGGGCCCTGTCAGCTCTCCAGGGTCTGTCGCCATCCCATGGTGGCCAGCCCACCGAATAGTCACCAGTGCACTTTCCTTGCCTGTTGGCTTCTCCCCTTCTTTGATTTTTATTTTTCCTGGCATAGGCAACCAAGGGCTCCTAGGTGCGTGCTGTGGCTTAGTAGGACTCTTCAGGGTCTGATGCTGTTCTTGAAGGTCTTTGCTTTCTTCAGAGATCATCTTTTGTTATTGTTTTTATGTGAGCGAGAGTGAAAGAGAGATAGGTATTTTCAATAGAGTTCGGCCACTCAGTGATTTTCCTGCTTGCCAGCCCTCAGCCTGTCCACCCTGGATCACAGGAGCACACCGCTGTGCGCGGTGTTCCTAGGTTGGTCCAGGATCTGCACCTGGGCCCTCCATGAGCTCGCAGCATCCTGCAGTGGCACCCACTGCAACACTGTGGCTGGGATGTGACTTCAGCTGTTTTCTATGTCTCATCACCCAGGTATCTACTACAGCTTTTAAGAAGCTAGAGCTAAGTTCTGGGCTGCAGAGTGACACAAAATAGAAATAAATAGATCCCCAAAACTCCAAAATAAATGATGGAGTAGGTACAGAAATAGCAGGGAGGCTTAAAAAGGGAGTATCACGCAGGCTAGAGTTGTTTGGGACATTTGATGAGGTGACACATATGGTCAATGTAGCGACTGGCTTGAGTCAGGAAGGAAAAAGCACACAGGGAAGTTAAACAGAAAAAGATGAAGTATTATACTTTTTTTCCAGATGTATAGTAAAAAATGTAAAATTTATGTACTAGACTGAAGGAATATCTGTAAAATATAAGAACTCTGTGCAGTCGCCGATGGCTGCGAGAAGGCCCAGAAAGAAAGTCAGAGCCAGAAAGTTCAGGTCTCCCTGGAGAAGGAGTGCATTGGCTGTGGGACAACAGGGAAGTTGGCTGCTTTAGCCAAAACGGAGCTGTTCTAGAGCTGCTAGACAAGTAACAGCCCACCCTCGGGGGAGGACTGAGGAGTCAGACATTAGCAGTCTTTGAATGGGGTGTGTGTGGCTTGGGCTTGGACATCAGACTGCATGGGAGAAACGGGGTGAAGACCTAAGACTCCCAGAGAGAGACTGCTCCAATGGACCCCAGGGTTACAAACAGCATATAGACCATGCTTGGGTCTCTGTGGATAAGATATCTCCAGGCAAACCTACAAGGTCATCAAGGTCACTGTCAGGTAGCTCCACCAAAAGTACTCACAGCCACATGACTGAGTCTCTTCACATACCTCAAGGAAACTGCAAATAGCCCCTTCCTCCCGCAGTGCCCCTTCTTCACCCTCTACTGAGAGCTCAACCTGACGCTTGCTATAGAGCAGAGAAGCATAAAGGAATCCCACTGTTTAATATAGCACATATATAAGGTGTATGTGGAGTTTAGAGGCAATAAACTAACTGACACAGATCATTTTGCAGAGACTGGCATTTAGTAGATTCTCAGTGATTGAAAGCTGTATTCTACTTTTTATTCAGTGAAGCTGAATGCATTTAAATTATTCAGAATAAATTTAAAAATAATGTAGTCATGTTAATATTTGTTGTCATGCAATTTTAACTAACGCAGAGAACTTAGCAAAGAGGCTCATACTTAGTAGAAGCCCAGTGATTGAAAGCTGTTAAGTATTATACTTTTTATTCGGTGAGGATGAATACATTTAAATTATTTGGATTACATTTAAAAGTTGAGTGGTCACATAAATATTTGTTACTGTATAATTTATTGCTGTGTATTCTGGAACTAGATACAAATTTGAAAATCAGTGTGCAGAGTGTTTCTAACTCATTTTTTGTCTTTCATTTTCTTTCTGTACAGGTCTTATACAATATACTAATTGCCTTCACAAAGATGCATAAATTTGAAGACATAGAACCTATCGACATTTTGGCTGGATGTGCCCGGTTCATCATTGTAGGGGTTGGGGGAATATTTTTCGGCATCGTTTTTGGATTTATTTCTGCATTTATCACACGTTTCACTCAGAATATCTCTGCAATCGAGCCGCTCATTGTCTTCATGTTCAGCTATCTGTCCTACTTAGCTGCTGAGACACTCTATCTCTCAGGAATCCTGGCGTGAGTACAAACCGAAACTCAAGTCTCATAGCAGAAAACTTAAGGCCTTCGCATGTGAGCCAGACAGCTGAACAACGCACGTCTTCTGACACTAATCCTCAGAAGTGTTGCGGGATTTAGGATTTTTAATTTTTTGTGAAACCTAATTCAGGTCCTTTGCCAAACAAATGTTCCCTCCAACGCTTGTGTTTGTTCTCTTCTTGTGATTTGCTTGAGAGGAAAGTAGCAATTATGTCAATGTGAAATGCACAGAAAAGCTGGTGCAGAAAAGAGCTGGGAAAGTTCAAGGTTAAAGTCTCATCTCACCAGTTATTATTATTGTCTTCAAAAAAATAATTTTAAAGATAAGAGAAGGCATGCCTCAAGGGATAGTCTTCTTGGGTTCTGCCTTCTATTCCCTTCAATCCACACATAGCTCTAAGACTGTTCCATAGTCTAGAAATGTATTTAGATGTCTTTGTCCTAATGCAAATGAAAGTACTATTTTTTTTTTTTTGAGAGGTTTTTGCTGTAGGGCAAATGCACTCGACAGAAAGAGAGAGACAGAAAGCAGGAAATCACCCCCAGTGGGGACAATCACACCACAATCCATTCTCCTCTGGTCTCTCAGGATTTGGGGCATGCTCTCACATGTGACCTGGGTAAGTTTCAAGCCTCTAGGTCCGGGACTTGAACTGTGGTCGACTACATTGGAGTCCAGTGATGCAAACATTATACCACCTGATGGCCCCAATACTTTTGAAATGTTTATCCTTGTGTCCTGTATCTTTGAAATGTCTATCTTAGAATGAGGATTTCCATTTTGGATTACTGTATCTGGTTATGCTGTTCTCTCTACCACATTGTCCTCCTATCCAGCTACTCAGGCAGAAATATTTAATTTTATTGTCTAAAGATACCCATTTCAATTAAAAATAATAATGTAAACTTTAGCCATCCATCATGTTTCTGCCTTTAAAACACCCAAACCTGGAAGACAAGGTACTACTTGCCAGCCCCCTCCCATACTTTAGTGGTTCTAGAATAGAAACATTAGAAATTAGTTTTTAAAAAGTCATGTAATTGTCATGGCTGTAGGGCAAATGCACTCGACAGAAAGAGAGAGACAGAAAGCAGGAAATCACCCCCAGTGGGGACAATCACACCACAATCCATTCTCCTCTGGTCTCTCAGGATTTGGGGCATGCTCTCACATGTGACCTGGGTAAGTTTCAAGCCTCTAGGTCCGGGACTTGAACTGTGGTCGACTACATTGGAGTCCAGTGATGCAAACATTATACCACCTGATGGCCCCAATACTTTTGAAATGTTTATCCTTGTGTCCTGTATCTTTGAAATGTCTATCTTAGAATGAGGATTTCCATTTTGGATTACTGTATCTGGTTATGCTGTTCTCTCTACCACATTGTCCTCCTATCCAGCTACTCAGGCAGAAATATTTAATTTTATTGTCTAAAGATACCCATTTCAATTAAAAATAATAATGTAAACTTTAGCCATCCATCATGTTTCTGCCTTTAAAACACCCAAACCTGGAAGACAAGGTACTACTTGCCAGCCCCCTCCCATACTTTAGTGGTTCTAGAATAGAAACATTAGAAATTAGTTTTTAAAAAGTCATGTAATTGTCATGAGAGATATTGTTTGATGATAGAAAGAGAGTCTTGCTGAATTATTCTGTCTAGGGAATTAAACGGAGTTCCTTTGGTTTGAGGCAGAGGGAAGTACACTTAAGAGCTCTTTTGCGGGAGGGCGAAATGGACGGCTCCACTTCCGGTTTGCCCTGGGCCTGCGATGGTAGCCATTTTGCTCTGGAGAGGCCGGGCTGTGCTCACCTTCCCAGCAGCAACGCTTTACCTTGTGGGCAGAGAGAAGAGGAAGAAAAAAAATCTGTGGGAGATCTGCAGCCCGAGAAGGGAAATGAAGCTCATGGTCTTTCAGGCTTATTCTATACCTGCAGCTTCTTTCAGGGGAGGCCTTTTCATGGAGGGGCAACACCTTGCCAATTCCCTCTCAGACTCTCTCCTTTTGTAGGATCACAGCCTGCGCGGTGACAATGAAGAAATATGTGGAAGAAAACGTGTCCCAGACAT